ATCTGGACCCGAATCTCCAACTCTCTGAAGTCTATGACGATAAGGCAGATGAACGGCATCCTTCCCAATAAGTAACACCCAACATAGAACCGGTATGTGGTAAATTCTAGAGGCGAAAACCACTCCCAACCACACCGATCATTTAATTTTGAGGTAAACTTTCTGAAAGGGCTACGGAGAAACGCTGGACCACATATAAATTGGTTTGATGAATGATACGTATTGTTTAACTGGCAGCCTCTTCCGCGGGGGAAGTGCATTCGGAATGGCGTCGATCAAGGCTCAAAAAGTGCGCAAGGTGTAATTTGGGAAAACTGTAGCAAGGCTTCGAGTTTTTATTGTATATTGATGTTTGTAGATATTACGGTAAGAGAACGGAAGGTTGTAACAGGCTGGCACTCTCACACCGTGTTCGCAACAGGATGGTCATCTCGTGATGGAACCCTCCTGTGAACAAAAACCTAGCGCCGGTTATTAACTTAGTAATGTTTTTTTTTCCGCTGTCTCGCATGGTCTCGATCTCCTGACCTCGTGATCCGCCCGTCTCGGCCTCCCAAAGTGCTGGGATTACAGGCTTGAGCCACCGCGCCCGGCCAAGGGAAAAAAAACATTCTAAGTAATACGCTAGTTTTTACGGTTTCCACGATGTGGTGCCAGCCTTTCCTTCTCTAGATATTTCTACAACTCATCTACACAAGCCTTGCTTACAGTTTTCCAAATACACCTTGCACTTTTTGAGCCTTTGATCGAGCCATTCCGAATGCACTTCCCCCAAGAGGCTGGCCAGTTAAAATACTATCATTCATCAAACACAATTTAAATGTCACTTTCTCCTGTAGCCCTTTCAGAAATTACCTCAAAATTAAATGATCAGACCTAAAATCTTTTGGGAGTGTTTTCGCCTCTAGAATTTACCACATACCTTTATGTTGGTGTTACTTATGGAATGCCTTCATCTGCCTTATGTCATAGACTTCAAAGTGGAGATTGGGTCCAGATCTTAATATAAAGGCTTACCATTTACCAGGCACAGCTCTAAGTATTAACGGTTTTAATCCTCAAGACAAAACCTAAGGAGATAAATTCTTCCATTGCCACTTTGTGGATTAGGAAAATGAAGCACAAAAACATTTAACTTGCCTGAGGTTTCGGAGCTAGTACATTGTAGAATCTGGATTCAAATCAAGACAGCAATTAGCTGAATGAAGGTGTAACTGTAAATGCAAATAACTGATCACAAGGGATACACATTCACTCACACAAGATACAAGATTTTTAACGTTGCCGATACTAAAAACAAAGCGTCTGCGTTTTTAAGTGCAGCCCCATCCCGCGATACTAGATTTATTCTTCAGAGCTGGGAGCCTGATGAAGGGGAACTATTCCTTTATATTTTTTAAGACTCAATAAATTGCCCACTTCTTTCCCAAAATGAGATGTCTGTTGGGGTGGCCCTTGTCGCTCCGTGTGCCAAGGGTCCTCCGATTGCTAAGGACACAGCGGTGAGCAGAGAAGGCAGGTGAGGAACTGCACGGACTCAGCTGCAGAGGGCGGCGGCAGCCCGCCCCTGGGGCGGGGGAAGTGGAGGTGCCGGGAGACATCAGGAAGCCCTTCCCTCCCCGGGCACGTAACAGAGCTGGGAGCCTGGCTGCCAGAGGTTTGTCATCGCCGGGGCGGTCTGGGAGCGCTGCGGCGCCGCGGCAGGAGAAACAGCCAAGGACGCCCTGGAAGAGCAGGAGCACGTGGGCGAGAATGGCGCCAACACCAGCCCTGCAAAACCACATCCCAGAGCGGGGCCCAGGACAGCCACCATTACCCCGCAGGCCTCAAGGAAGACGGTCAAGTCAGCCAAGGCCGCCTCCCTAGTCAGGAGCCTCCCAAAGCGCAGGCGCACCTACCCGGGGGGCGCGGCTGGGCGGAGTCAAGAGCCGGAAGAGCCTTGCGCCGCAGTCCTTCCCCGGAAACCCGCGGGCCGGAAGTGTCGGGAGTTCCAGCTCAGAACCCCGGGTTGCTGGGCAACCGATGCGGCCGCTGCAGCTGGTCTCTGTGGTGCTGGGAGCGAGCCCAGTGTAGCTCCCACCTCCTACGCTGGTAACCTCCCGTCCCGCCCGCTTCCCTTGTTATCGCTTCTCCTCGCGTCGGGGAATCCTTGCCCTTGGCACTACTTACATCTCTCCGGGTCCCACGACACCTTAACGCCTACCTGCGTCAAAGCCAAGCTCCACCGAAAGCGAGGCAGTCTGCCCCCGGACATGACTTCGGCGCTGACTGATGGCACCTCTCGGGCCCCGAGCACCTACACCTACACCAGCCGGCCCCGAGCACTGCCCTGCCAGCGCAGCCGTTACCGGGACAGCCTGACGCAGCCGTGAGTGACCAGGCCAGCCCCTGTGTGGTCCATACTTGCACCCCATCCCCGGGCCGGGGTCTGGCCCCTTCGCCCTGGCAAAAGCTACTTATATGCTGTCTTCCCTTGGCTGCACTCTGCCGAAATAAAAGTTCTGCCCTAAGGAATCTCCCGTGGTGTGGAGGAGTGAAGCAGGAAGGGGCATGGATTGGGCACCAGCTAACTTTTAGTGATACTGAGTTGCTGCCGTGGTCCTTACCAGGTACACGAATCGGCTCATTTCACAAAGTTTGAATTGTACCAGTGTGTATTGAGGGCCAGCTACGTGCTGAGCACCTTACTGGGGGCATTCAAATACGTTTTCTTACTTAATCCACAGTGCTGTGAAGTTGGGTTTTATAACTCCATTATGCAGATGAGGGAACTGGGGTGCAAGGATAATCCAACAATAGCATATCCAAAATGGGAGCCGAGTAAATCTCTTCTGCAGGCTTTGAGCAGGAGTAGGATTATTCTCCCATGCAGGACCACGTATTGGTTTTTTGTGGTGCTGGTGGTGGTGGTGGTGGTTGTTTTGAGACGGAGTTTCGCTCTTATCGCCCAGGCTGGACCGCAATGACGCGATCTCCGCTCACTGCAACCTCCGCCGCGCCCCCGCGCCCCTGGCCCAGGGTTCAAACGATTCTCCTGCCTTAGCCTCCCAAGTAGCTGGGACTACAGGCGCCCGTCACCATGCCCGGATAATTTTTGTGTTTTTAGTAGAGACAGGGTTTTGCCACGTTGACCAGGCTGGTCTCAAACTCTTGGCCTCAAGTGATGCGCCCGCCTCGGCCTCCCAAAGTGCTGGGATTACAAGCGTGAGTCACTGCGCCTGGCCGGCAGATTGTGTTTTTACATCGATGAACAGTTGCAAATATTCAAACATACATAGGAAAGAAAAAAATATACATAAGCTCTTAAAGTTCTCTTAAAGTTAAACGGTTCTCTAAAATTATTTCCATAAGCCTCAAATGTTGAATTCAGCAGACCTTTACAGGAATGCAAGTTCCATGGATGCGGGAACCTTTGCATCTTTTGTTCACCTAGTACAATGCCTGGTACATAGTAAGCACTTAATACAAATTGTCGAATTGATGATTGAATATCAACAGTGTAATTATTGATGCTTGTTTCAAACACTGTTTCTAAATTCATAATTATCTTGTTCTGACATTCTTTTGTAAGAGATGTCTATCACTGTGAGAAAACTAAAATAGAAAATTTAAATCTGAAGAGTGGTCATTTATGTTAGAAAAGGATTCAATTTTAAAATTTTCTAATCCTTCCAAAAACACTTTCTGGTGCCTTTAAGTAGTTGCTTACAAATCATTACTATCCAATCAGAGCAACAAATTAGAAACAAGAATCAAGGATGGTTCATTAGAAACAACTTTTTTGATAGTTGATTAGTATATTGAAGTAATCTGTTGATTAGTTGCTTAGTATATCTGAGTAATGCACAAGACAGAAAAATCTCAATTTTGAGAAAGTAGTATCTTACAAATCATAATCATTGATATCCTAATGGATAAAATATTAATATTTTATCCATAATTTGCTTATGGGTAAGGATAATATTCTCCCCTGATACCTTTATGAATAAAATATTTTTTAAGTGTTCAGGAGAGTAGTTGGGCATGGTGGCATGTGCCTGTAATCTCAGGTACTTCGGAGGCTGAGGCAGGAGGATCTCTTAAACCCAAAGGCAGAGGTTGCAGTGAGCCAAGATCACGCCACTGCACTCCAGCCTGGGCAACAAAGCGAAACTCTGTGTCAGGAAAAAAAAAGTGTTCAGGAGAGTACTTGTCTTAATCCCTTTTATGTTGCTTTAACAGAGTATCTGAAACTGGATAGTCTATAAAGAGATGTATTTAGCTCACAGCTCTGCAGACTGAGAAGTACAAGAGCATGGTGCTGGCATCTGCTTGCCTTCTAGTGAGGACTTTTCTTATTGTATCATAACATGATGGAGAAGGTCAAAGGGGAAGCAGATACGTGGGAAGTGGCCAAACAGGAGGAAGTACCTCATTTTGTAACAACCCACTCTCTTGGGAACTAGTCCTGTGAGAACCTAATCCAGTCTCTTGAGAGTAAGAGCTGCCTCACTACTGCAAGAACTGGTGCCAAGCTATTCATGAGGGATCCACCCATGATCCAAACACCTCCCACCAGGCCCCTCTTCCCAACACTGCCATATTGGAAATTAAATTTCCATGTGAGTTTTAGTGGGGATGACAAACCACATCCAAACCACAGCAGTACTTTTAGTACTTTCAGTACTTGCTGGTGAGTAACTAGATGACCATATCCAAAAAGAGTATGCTTTTGTGTCAATCTGTCTCTATGCTAGAATGCCCTTTAGTTGTTTCCTGTTCAAAATTTCACGTTGAACTGGATAAATCTTCAGTTTTTCATGGCTGGAATGGATAACTAACTTATGATTGAAGGGAGTCAAGATTCCAGATTATCTTGATTGGGTATATATAACTGGGCTGAAACCAGAAAATGAAACTTAATTGGAAAGCTGTGAAGTTTTACTTAGGTGTGAGAAGTCAGTTATACAGAAATGGGAGTATCTGATTTTTCCTTTGAAAGGGTCTAGAAATTTAACACAAGTCTAATGTGAGTCAAGAACTTCCACCTTTTCATAGGATTATAAAGCTGAAAGAGAACATTTGAATACTAGTCTTCTCATGTACAAACAAGAGAATGTAATACATCTTTTATGTATTTCTTGGTAGTTGGGTGATCATAAACACCATTAAATTCACCTTTAGGCATGTGTCAAAAGACAATTGTGATAATGACATCCTCATTTTACAAATCCTTTGGTAAAGGATGTATAGCCCTTCTAATAAAATAACATTTTAATGCAAATGAATTAAAACCTTAGAATATACCTTAGAACATTTTTTTTTTAAACTCAGATCAAATAAGGTTTAAAATCACTATAGTGGGCAGAATAATGATTCCCCAAAGATGTCCTCTTCCTCGTCCCCAGAACCTGTGAACATGCTATGTGGTAAAATGGACTTTGAGATGGGATTACATTAAGGATCTTGAGATGGGAGATCTTGAGATGGGAAATTAGCCTGGCTTATCCAGGTGGACCCAGTAGAATCACAATGGAGTCTTAAAAGTGAAAGAAGAAGGCTGTGTGCGGTGGCTCATGCCTGGAATTCCAGCACCTTGGGAGGCCGAGGCAGGCGGATCACGAGGTCAGGAGGTCGAGACCATCCTGGCTAATGTGGTGAAACCCAGTCTCTACTAAAAAAAATACAAAAAAAAAAAAATTAGCTGGGCATGGTGGCGGGCTCCTGTAGTCCCAGGTACAACAGAGGCTGAGGCAGGAAAATGGTGTGAACCCGGGAGGCGAAGCTTGCAGTGAGCCGAGATCATGCCACTGCATTCTAACCTGGGCGACAGAGCGAGACGCCATCTCAAAAAAAAAAAAAAAAAAAAAAGGTGAAAGAAGAAGGCATAGGAGTCTGAGTCATAGAAGGAGATGTGTCATTAGAAGCAAAGGTCAGAATCACACAAATGCTGACTGGAAGGCGACCACAAGCCAGGGAATGAGGGCAGTCGCTAGAGCCTGGAAAAGGCAAAGAAACATTCTCCCCAGGACCTCCAGGAGGAGTGCAGCCCTGTAGACACCCCTTTTGGACATCTGAACTGCAGAATTCTGAGAATCAATGTGTTATTTTAAGGCAACTACATGGTTAGTAGTACCATCTAATCAAATAGGAAACACTGAAGAAGTAATGAGTTGGAATGGGAGAGTAATAATTAGTTCCATTTTGAGGTTGCCTTCCAGATAACATAGTGAGATGTCGTCAGGCAACTGGATATGCCTAGAGTTGAGAGAAGAGTTCTTGGCTAAATAAAAATTGGGAGTTTTAGGTATATGGATTATAATTGAAGTCTTGAAAATGGATGAGGTTGACTAAGGACAAGAGAAGGCTGAGCCTGGAGGAAATCCTCCAGTATGGGAGGAACCACAAACAAAGGCTAAGAAAAAGGCATTAGAGAAGTAGTAGAAAAACAATCAGAAGATTATGGTGGTAACACAGAGGCCTAGGAAAGAGAATGCTTCAGTGAAGGAGTGGCCAACTGGGCCTAACACTGCCCAGAGATCAATTAATACAAGCAATGAAACATGTTAGAATGTTCAATTGTGGCTTCAATATATGACAAAAAAGCAACTTATACCCCACTCAGAATCATTTCCCATAGAATACTGTTGTTGGTGTAGGGCAATGTTTAGTTTCTTAGCTATAAACAATATACCATTTAAATAACTTTGAATGAAAGTATCGACTGTTTTTGTATTTTTTACCAGCAATCATTCTGATCCCTGAAATTAATATTTTATTTTATTTATTTATCTATTTATTTTTTGAGACAAAGTCTCTCTCTGTCTCCCAGGCTGGAGTTCAGTAGCCTGATCTCAGCTCACGGCAACCTCTGCCTCCTGGGCTGAAACCATTCTCATGCCTCAGGTACCGAAGCAGCTGGGATTACAGGTGCAGGCCACCAGGTCTGGCTAATTTTGTATTTTTAGTAGAGATGATGTTTCACCATGTTGGCCAGGCTGAAAAATTTTATTAACATTTTAAACAATAACTTTAAAAAATACATTTGGGGGCCGGGCGCGGTGGCTCAAGCCTGTAATCCCAGCACTTTGGGAGGCCGAGACGGGCGGATCACGAGGTCAGGAGATCGAGACCATCCTGGCTAACATGGTGAAACCCCGCCTCCACTAAAAAATACAAAAAAATAGCCGGGCGAGATGGCGGGCGCCTGTAGTCCCAGCTACTCGGGAGGCTGAGGCAGGAGAATGGCGTGAACCCAGGAGGCAGAGACGACAGCCTGGGCGACAGGGCGAGACTCCGACTCAAAAAAAAAAAAAAAAAAAGTTTGGGTTTAAAGAACAATTAGAAAATTGACTTAATTTTTAAGCCTCATTTTTTTATTACTGTAACTTTTCAATCTTTGAATCAAGCTTTTTTCAGTCCTTTAAAGAAGGCCCCTTTTCAGGTGGGCCATTTTCATATTTACTAAAGTCATACAGATTTACAATCTAAATCTAGCCCTGCCACTTACTAGCAAGGTGACCTTGGGCAGATTCCAGAGTCTGTTTCCCCTTCTGAAAAAGGAATCATAATTCCCACCTTGGCAGCTTATTGTGAATAATAAATAAATAATGTACATGAAGGACCTGGCATATAGTAAGCATTACATAAATTGTATCCATTTACCTCCTTATTTTATGGACCACACTGAAACAGAAATTTATTTTCTTAAAATATATTTATTTTAGTCTAAATCCTATTGAAAATGAGTTACTTCATAGATACCAATACTCTATTAAAATGGTTTTACAGAATTTTCTGTTTTACAGAGATGAAGAACCTATGCGTTATGGAAACATAATGTATGACAGAAGGGTAATTCGAGGCAACACTTATGCACTCCAGACAGGGCCACTGGTAAGTTAAGTTTGAATAGTCTAACACTGTGTTCTCACATTATCTGTGGGGAAGGATCAGTTTCTTTGTGTTAATTTCTAATCCATTGCAGACTAAAACATTCATAAAATAAAGATGAATTACTATAAAAATGAAGTTTTAAAAAAGACGTACAAACGGAAGCCCAGTGAGTTTCCAGGAGCTGGGAGATGAGGGGGCCAGGGAAGGAGTTATTGTTTAATGAGTGTAGAGTTTCAGTTTTGCAAGGGGAAAAGAGTTCTGGAGATAGAGGATGGTGACAGTGATAGAACAATGTGAATGTGATTAATACCACTGAATTTTATACTTAAAAATGGTTAAGGTGATAAATTTTACATTATGTGTATTTTACCACAAAAAAAGAATTAACTAAAAAAAAAAGCCCCAATTTTTCATTAGATTCAACAGAACTCTGCCATTCTAAACATTTCTAGACTTTTACTCTCAATTTCTATACTTAAATTGTTACAGACCAGTTCAAATAGTTTATAGACACACTAGCCAGAGGCCCACATTTTGAGTAGCCCTTGTTGATTGCATCTAGGTTTGTTTAGATTATCTCATACTCTAATACAATTATCATTATTTAATCAAAAAGTCTGAATTCTGCTGCTTTAATTCACTCAACAGATATTTATTGACTTTTAGGTCCTGTTATGGGTACCTAGGATACAGAGATGAGTAAGACATGGTATGATATTAAGGGTGGTGAGTTCTTGGCACAGAAATGAAATACAGGTGAATCTCTAAACTGTATATGACATATAAGTGCCTAATACAAGATGGTGATAGAGATGCTCCTCTACTTAGGATGAGGTTATGTCCCAATAAACTCACTGAACATTAAAAATGGATTTAAAACACCAAACCTGCCAAACACACCATAGCATAGCATAGCATAGCATAGCCTACCTTAAATATGCTCAGAGGCCAGGTATGGTGGCTCACGCCTGTAATCCCAGCACTTTGGGAGGCCAAGGTGGGCAGATCGCTTGAGCCAAGGTGCTTGAGACCAGCCTGGGCAAAGTGGTGAAACCCTGTCTCTACAAAAAAAAAAAAAAAAAACCCCACAAAAATTAGCTGGGCATGGTGGCACGCACCTGCAGTCCCAACTACTTGGGAGGCTGAGGCAGAAGGATTGATTGAGCTCCGGAGGACAAGGCTGCAGTGAGCTGTGATCACACCACTGCACTCCAGCCTGGGTGACAGAGGGAAACCCTGTCTCAAAAAACAAAAACAAAAAAACACAACCTAGAATGTTAAAGAATTGAGGGAAGCTCAGTGTGCCTGAATCGGAGTCTGAGGCAGGGAGTATCAAGAAATAAGTGATTAAAAAGAAGTTAAAGATGAATAATAACATTCAAATCCAATGTTGTTGAATGTCAAATGAGGCATGTGAAGAATCCACCTAAGGTATGTTCCCGGAACGAGACCCTGTCTCAAAAAAAAAGGTGCTCAGAATACTTACATTAGCCTACAGTTGGGAAAAATCATCTAACACAACGTCTATTTTATAATAAAGTGTTGAATATCTCATATAATTTATTAAATATTAAAGTGAAAAATAGTATGGTTGTATGAGTATTCAAAGTACATTCTCTGTGGATACTTTTGTATCATCATAAAGCTGAAAAATCATAAACCACATAAGTTGGGGAACATCTATTAGTCTGAAGCAATGGTTAACTTATTAAACATATATATATATATGTATGTATGTATGTATATACGCTTCAACCCTATCCTGGATCTCTTGCATTAGAACCTCCAGGGATTCCCTGCTTCTCCCACTGAGGTGGTATCAACAAGGGTGGAGCAGAAAGCTGGACTTTCACCTTCACCCAGTACCAGTGAGGTAGTAGGAGATGGCACAAGTCAGTGCCCCACTCTTTCTGGGGTGGTGCCAGCAAATCCAGTGGGTAGCTGAATTGCAGTCCTCTCTGGCAGTAACAAGGTGGTATGAGGCAGTACTAGTCAATGCTGCACTCTCCAGACACCACCACCAGTGTCAACAGAGCCTAGAAAGGAGCTGAACTACCACCCCCACCTGGCACCTATGTGTTGGTACAGGTTGACCCTCTGCTTTTGTTGAGGTGGTGACAGTGGGGCCCAGCAGGAAGTTGAACTTCTAACCCCACGCAGACTTGTTCACTAAACAAAAAGGGTGACTTTCTACTGAAAAATTAAATAGGATCCAAAGTCTTAAAATATAATACCCAAAATAGCCAGGATACAAACCAAAATCACTTATCATACAAGAATCAGGACAGTCACAACTTGCACAAGAAAAGACAATCAAGAAATGACAAAACCAAGATGACTCAGATGTGGGAATTACCTGACAAGGATTTTAAAGCAACAAACATGTTTCAATGAAAAGTGGACAATTGTAGACACTCTTGAAACAAAAAAAAATCTTAGCAAAGAAATACAAGATAAAGTGAACCAAATGGAAACTTATAGAACTGAAAAATACAATAACTAAAATAAAAAACTCACTGGATGGACTCAGTAGTTCGTTGGAAATGATATAGGAAACAATCAATGAACTTGAAGAAAAATCAATGAAGAATGGAAGTTATCCAGCTGAACAGAGAGAAAATAGACCAAATAAATAAATAAAAAGCCTGAGAGAGCTGAAGAACAATCACAAAGATTTATATTCATGTTGTTGGAATCCTAGAAGGAGAGGAGGAAAACTAGGAGATGGAAATCTTGAATCTGTAGGCAAAAGGCCTACAGATCCAAGAAACCAAGTGACTCCCCCAAAGAGGATAAACCCAGAGAAATCTACCCGAGACAAATCAAGATCAAACTTTTGAAAATTAAAAACAAAACGTTTTGAAATCAGCCAGAAAGAAATTACGCATTAGCTAAAGGAGAACAATGATTTAAATGGCAGTGGATTTCTTACCTAAAACATGGAGACAAGAAAGTGGCACAATATTTTCCAAGTCCTTAAAGGAAAGAACTATCAAGCTCTAATTCTAATCCAGTGAAAATATTTTTCAGGAGTTCCAAAACGGCAGCATAGAAGCAGGCTGGCTTCACTCCCCCTGCAAAAGAAAATCAAGAACAAATGTACAGTGTCGAGATTACTACCAGCAATATTCTAGAGGTCAAGTAGAAGGAGGAGGCACTTCCCAGGGCTACAGAAAAGTGAAAAAGCTCCAAGAAGGTGGTAGGAGAATCAGACGTTCATGTCTGCAGTATCTCTCCTTCTAGTCTGCCTAGCACTAAGGATGTGGAGGATTGTATTAGTGTTCTCTAGAGGGACAGAACTAATGGAACAGATATATATATATATGCAGTAGAATTTATTAAGTATTAACTCACACAATCACAAGGTCCCGCAATAGGCCATCTGCAGGCTGAGGAGCAAGGAGAGCTAGTCCAGGTTCCAAAACTGTAGAACTTGGAGTTCAATGATCGAGGGCAGGAAGCATCCAGCACAGGAGAAAGATGTAGGCTGGGAGGCTAGGCCAGTCTCTCTTTTCACATTTTTCTGCCTGCTTATATTCTAGCCACTCTGGCAGCTGATTAGATTGTGCTCACCCAGGTTAAGGGTGGGTCTGCCTTTCCAAGCCTACTGACTCAGATGATAGTCTCTTTTGGCAACACCCTGAGACACACCTAGGATCTGTACTTGGTATCCTTCAATCCAGTCAAGTTGACACTCAGTATTAACCATCACAAGGATTTATCTCTGACTTGTGATTTCTGCACTGGAAAAAGATCAAGGTGGACAACTAGTTTCCCTACCATGTTGGGTTCCCTGGCAGGAAATTCAACCCACAAGAAGCATCATGAGTTCCTGAAGAGAGAAATACCCCTGAGTACAGCCAAAGACAAAATGGGGAGGTGAGACTACCATCCCCAGCCCTGGACGCTCCGCTGTATAACTCGACCAAAGGAAACACCAAATGAGCATGGCTGTTCAGCAGCACCACACTGTAGGAGATAACATTGTACCGGTCCCCTGGGCATAGACCCCTAGCCAGTCCCACTACCAGTGTATCCCCTTTGGGACCTCCCCCATTCAGGATGGGCAGTGCTCTGATCATTTACTAGAGCCAGGAGAATCTGGCCTTAAGGCGCCACCTAGAGCCAAAAAGGAGGCAGCAATCTAGTGATAAAGGATCTCTGGCAGGGCGCAGTGTCTCATGCCTGTAATCCCAGCACTTTGGGAGGCCGAGGCAGGCAGATCGCTTGAGGTCATTAGTTCGAGACCAACCTGACCAATATGATGAAACCCCATGTCTACTAAAAATACAAAATTTAGCCAGATGTGGTGGCAGGCATCTGTAATCCCAGCTACTTGAGAGGCTGAGTCAGGAGAATCGCTTGAACCCAGGAGGCAGAGGTTGCAGTGAGCCAAGATCACACCAGTGCACTCCAGCCAGGGTGACAGAGTGAGACTCTGTCTCAAAAAAGGGGAAAAAAAAAAGGGGGGTTTCTAAGAAAATATATCCAATAAAAAGCAAAAACAAGCCAGACAGAGAAGACTGGACTAAATAACCCTTCAGTGCAGAGACATAGACATACATCCACATGAAACAACAGCAAATGAGGAACCACGACCTACCTACCTGAAGGGACAAAGCAAGGAATCAGTAACTGGCACTAATGAGATGGCAGGATGTGAGCTCTCTGACCAAAAATTCAAAATAGCAGTCTTAAGGAAATTTGGTGACATCTAAGATAACACAGAAAAGCAATTTAGAAATTTGTTACAGAAATTTAACAAGGAAATTGAAATAATTTTTTGAAATCAAGCAGAAATCTTGGAGCTGAGTAATACATTTGTTGAACTGAAAAATGTATTAGAGGCTTTCAACAACAGAATGAATCAAGCAGAGGAAAGAATCAGTGAACATGAAGACAAAGACAGACTATTTGAAAATAAACAGTCTGAGGAGAGAAAAGAATGAGAAAAAACAAAGACTGCTTACAAGATATAGAAAATTACCCCAAAAGATCAAAGCTAAGAATTACCTGTGTTCAAGAGGGAATTGAGTAAGAGTAAGGAGTAGGAAGCTTGTTTTAAGAAATACTAACAGAAAACTTTCCAAAACTTGAGAAAGAGATAGATATCCAGGTACAGGAAGGTCAGAGAATACCAAACTCTTTCACCCCAAATAATACCCCATAGAATAATCAAGCTCTCAAAGGTCAAGGACAAAAAAAGAATCCCAAAAGCAGCAAGAGAAAAGAAGCAAATAACATACATGAAGCATCTCCAATCCATCTGGCAGCTGACTTCTCAATGGAAACTGTACAGGCCAGGAGGGAGTGAGATGACCAGGAGGGACTGGGGTGACATTTTCAAAGTGCTGAAAGAAAAAAAATCATCTAAGAATATTGTATCCACAAAATTATCCCTCAAATATGAAGGAGAGATAGTCTTTCCTAGCCAAATAAGAGCTGAGCAAATTCAGCACCACCACGCTCATCTTACAAGAAACGTTAAAGGAAATTCTTCAGCCTGAACAACAACAACAAAAAACACTAATGTGCCAAAAGAAAACATTTGAAGGTATGAAACTTACTGGTTAGGCCAGGCGCGGTGGCTCAAGCCTGTAATCCCAGCACTTTGGGAGGCCGAGATGGGCGGATCACGAGGTCAGGAGATCGAGACCATCCTGGCTAACACGGTGAAACCCCGTCTCTACTAAGAAATACAAAAAAAAAATAGCCGGGCGAGGTGGCAGCGCCTGTAGTCCCAGCTACTCGGGAGGCTGAGGCCGGAGAGTGGCGTGAACCCGGGAGGCGGAGCTTGCAGTGAGCTGAGATCGGGCCACTGCACTCCAGCCTGGGCGACAGCGCGAGACTCCGTCTCAAAAAAAAAAAAAAAAAGAAACTTACTGATTAAATTAAGTACATAGACAAACCTAGAATACTCTCATACTATAACTGTAGTATGCAATCCACTCATAATTCTACTATGAGGCCCAAAAGACAACTATCAAAAACAGTAATAGCTGCAGCAACCTGTTAAGAGGTAGGTAATCGCGCCACTGCACTCCAGCCTGGGCGACAGTGCAGACTTGGTCTCAAAAAAAAAAAAAAAAAAAGTGCAATGAGGCAACTGAAAGTTAGTATGTGGGGGAATGGAGTTAAAGTGTAGAATAATTTTTCTTTGCTTCTGTTCTTTGTGATCTAAGATAAGTTGTCATCTCTGCAAACAACTTGCTATATCTATGTTTTTTGTAAGCCTCATGGTAACCACAATGCAAAAATCTGTAGTGGAGTCACCAAAAATTAAAAGCAACAAACTAAAATATACTACCAGATAAAGTCACTTAACACAAAGACAGACAATAAGGAAGGAAGGAGATACAAAACAACCAGAAAATAAGCAACAAAATGGTAGTAGGAAGTCCCTGCTTTATCAATAATAACACTGAATGTAAGAGGACTTGGTTCTCCAATTAAAAGGCATAGAATAGCTGATTGGGTAAAGAAATGAGACCCAACTGTATGCTCCTACAAGAAACCCACTTCACCTACAGAGACACACATAGACTGAAAGTAAAGGGATGGAAAAAGATTTTCCATGCAACTAGAAATCAAAAAAGAACATGAGTATACTTACATCAGATAAACTACAAATCAAAGACCGTAAAAAGAAACATAGTCACTCTGTAATCATAAAGTGATCCGTTCAGCCAGAGGATGTAACAATGATAAATATGCACCCAACACCAGAGCTCCCAATTATGTGAAGCAAACATGAATGGATCTAAAGGGAGAAATAGAAAGCAATGCAATAATAGTAGGAGATTTCAACAACCCATTCTCAGTAATGAATAGATAATCCAAACAGAAAGGAAAAAAAAGAGAAAGAAGGAAAAGAAAATTGGTGTTAAACTTCACACTAGACCTATTAGGACTAACTGATATCTATAGAACATTTTATCCATCCTCTGCAGAGTACACATTTTTTTCTTCAGCACATGGATCATTCTTCAGAATAGACCATATCTTAGGCCACAAAACATGTCTGCACAAATTCAGAAAAGTAGAAATTCTATCAAGTTTCTTTGCTGATCACAATGAAGTAAAACTAGAAATCAATAATAAGAGGAACCTTGGAAGCTACAAAAATACATGGAAATTAAACAGCATGCTCCTGAATGATCAGCAGGTCAACAAATGAATTAAAAAGGAAATGTTTTTATTATTTTTGTAAATATATAGATAGGATTGTGCACCCATGTATTCCAGTTAACAGCCATACTTTGAAGTTACTTTTATGCTTTGTCAAATATCTTTGTAATTATCTGACAAAGTACTAATGCAATTTTAATGAAGTTACTGATAATCAGGAAACATTATGATAAATGCCTTTATACTACCCAGGAATTGCTTTTGGAATGGCAGTTCTTGTATGCTTTAATAAATACTTTCTAAATTCTAGAAGTATTTTCTATCACTGTTAGCTCGGACAGCCTGATTCTCTAGAGCTTCAGAGACAACGGGAGGCTAAGAAGAGGGCTCTTGCCAGAAAACAAGCCCAAGAGCAGCTCAGACCACAAACACCTGAACCTGTGGAAGGCAGAAAGCATGTCGATGTGCAAACAGGTGTGTGACTGTGCCCTTGGCATTGTGTCCTCTTGGTTTACTCAGTTGTCTGTCAGTTCATTTGTGTTTGGCCTTTGTATTATTTATGCCTTTCCTGTGCTGATACTTCCCTAGTAACATGGTAGGGAAGTTCATTTATTAAAGAAATACATAGACTAGGTTGGGTGTGCTGGCTCACACCTGTAATCCCAGCACTTGGGGAGACTGAGGCGGGCAGATCGCCTGAGGTCAGGAGTTTGAAACCAGCCTGGCCAATGTGGTGAAAAACCCCGTCTCTACTAAAAATACAAAAAATTAGCTGGGCATTGTGGCAGTTGCCTGTAATCCCAGCTACTTGGGAGGCTGAGGCAGGAGAATCACTTGAACCCGGGAGGTGGAGGTTGCAGTGAGCCGAGATCACACCATTGCACTCCAGCCTGGGCGACAGGAGCTAAAGTCCATCTCAAAAAAAAGAAAAAAGAGAGAGAGAAAGAAATACATAGACTGTATACTATTATCTTAGTGGATATGACTGGAAGTGTGAAATGGGGTTCAAAAAAAAAAAAAAAAGAATTTTGGCCAAGCGTAGTGGCTCACATCTGTAATCCCAGCACTTTGGGAGGCAAGGCAGGAGGATCACTTGAGCCCAGGGGTTCGAGACCAGCCAGGGCAACATACCAAGACCCTATCTCTACAAAAACATTTTAAAATTGGTCGAGCATGGTGGTATATGCCTGTAATTCCAACTACCCAGTAGGCTAAGGCAGGAGGATTATATATGCCCAGGATTTCAAGGCTGCAGTAAGCTATGATCACACCACTGCACTCAGCCTGGGCAACAAATAAATAAATAAAAGAATTTTGTGACCAAACAAATTCTGTCTTAGGAGCCCTTTTCCACATATTCTGTTCTCAAACTGGGATTCTTTCTCGTAGCCAACATGAATCACTATTCTTTTCATTAGGACTTACAGGAAAGGAGAGCAATATAATTCTACTTTGTCATTTTGTCTTTTGAGAGGAATAAACCCACTCCCATCTGAGTCATCTGCCTCTCACACCAGCCTCCTCTGTCCTCCGGTTCTGTCACTGTGCACATTCCCCAGGGCCACACAGGCACCCCTGAGGCAGGTGTCAGGATTTGCGTGCTTGTCTTGCTGTCCTCAGCTCTAGAGGTTTACCTGGTCCTATAGGGTCTAGCTGTATTGTTGACAGAATCTTGGTCATCAGACAGTGCTTGGTGTTTTCCTTGGACCACTGTCACTACTTAAGGTTCACTTTGTACCCTTCCAAGATGGTGAGTGGATCCATCAGGATTATTTCTGCATGGTAAAGGCAAAAGGGACCATTCCATGCTTTAACACTGCCTTTACGCCAAGTCTAGAATGTGTGTATGGCTGTCATTAGCCAAAGAGCTAAGTTTTCATGTTTCTTTATACCATCAGAATATTAAGTGATATAATAGCAGCCAGCTTTTTTTGGATATTTCCTCAGAGACTGAACCAGGTCCTTTATCTGTGTATTTCCTTCATTATTACAAAGATTCTGTGTGACAGGTAGTTATAGCCCATTTTCCAGATGAAGAAACTGAGGCCCAGAGAGGACATGACTTGGCCAAGTCCTGTGCCCAACATCTGACTCTAGTGCTCATGTTCTTTGCTTGATACCACATTACCCTTGCCTCATATAAATTACTCCTAACATGAAATTTGTTTTCATACATCTATTTATAATCTGTAGTGTAGAGGGAACATCAAATAACCTGGTGACTTGGTACATGATTTTTTTAAATATCCAGGAATTTTCAAATCTTTATATGTTTACTGTCTTAGGACTCAAATATATATATGTGTATTACTGACTTTTTATCCACTGTTGTACTCTGCATCTTATACACATCTATGGTCTCATGTTCTTCTTCAGTTCCATTTTCAAATACAAAGCTCAGTGCATTCAGTAAATGTTCTAGCCTGACTAACTCTATCTATGGTCTTCCAAATATTTAAAAACTCTTAGTTCAGTATGTGAAGTAAGCCCCATATTTGAACACTTTTATTCTAATACTTATTTTCTGATTCATTTAAATATGTTTTGAAAGAGCTAAAATTTCAAATACGCATATATGCTTGAAATAGACCAGAACTTTTTTTCTTAGAGACAGAGTCTCATTGTGTTGCCCAGGCTGCAGTACGGTGACACGATCTTGGATCACTGCAACCTCCACCTCCCAGGTTCAAGCAATTCTCCCACCTCAGCCTCCCAAGTGACTGGGACCACAGGCACGCACCACCACACCCAGCTAATTTTTGTATTTTTTGTAGAGATGGGGTTTCGCCATGTTGGACAGGCTGGTCTCAAACTCCTGGCCTCAAGTAATGCACCCTCCTCGGCCTCCTAAAGTGCTGGGATTATGGGCATAAACTACTGTGCCTGGCCTTAGACCAGAATTTTAAACTCAATGTATGTGATGATTCTTCTTAGAATTATACCTTGAAGAAATTGCTGATCGCATAATAGAAGTTGATATGGAATGCCAAACAGATGCATTTTTGGACAGACCACCAACACCACTCTTTATTCCTGCCAAAACTGGCAAAGATGTGGCCACCCAGATACTAGAAGGAGAGGTACAGTATATCCTGTGGGTTCCCTCTATAATCTTTATAAATGAGGTAAAGTTAGGTGTAGATAATGCTTAATATGAACAAGAGCCACTTCACAATCAGATTCTACTTCTTGGATTTCTTTCCAGATATTATCTATAATGGTTTTATCATATAGTACTCAGAAATGTTTTAAAATACCATGTTCTGATTTCTTTGCCAATTATAAACAAAATCATTTAAAATATTTTTAGAATATTTCCACATTTGATTTTTGTTTGTTTATATGCTTGCTTAATGTATGTATATAAGATAGATTTGTACTAAATAAGGAAAAATAATATCCCTGGTATAAAAGATTCCACAATTAGTTGCTTGTGGATTATATAACTTTTGTAAAGATACTCTCATTTAAAAAAAATTTTAATAATTACATTTTTCTATCAGTGTGGAATGCATAAATGGGCCTGTTTATGAAATTGAAGAAGAGAAGGCAATGATTATGTTCATAATGACCTAAATGAGTTTTAACACTTGTGGGAACTTGAAAGAACTGTCATTGAAATTGGGAAATAAAATAAATCTTCAGAAGCTATCTGAAAGTTATATTTGCCTAGAAATCCTAGCAATGAATCACCAAAATATCTATTATTCTTATTTGTTCGTTCATCAAACTGTTATTTAAAAATAAATAAAAACAACGGCCGGGTGCAGTGGCTCAAGCCTGTAATCCCAGCACTTTGGGAGGCCGAGACGGGCAGATCACAAGGTCAGGAGATCAAGACCATCCTGGCTAACATGGTGAAACCCCGTCTCTACTAAAAAATACAAAAAAAAACTAGCCGGACGAGGTGGCGGGCGCCTGTAGTCCCAGCTACTCGGGAGGCTGAGGCAGGAGAATGGCGTGAACCCGGGAGGCGGAGCTTGCAGTGAGCTGAGATCCGGCCACTGCACTCCAGCCTGGGCGACAGAGCAAGACTCCATCTCAAAATAAATAAATAAATAAAAATCAAACAGAGAAGGCAAAGAATAAGACAGACAAGGATATTCCTCTTCAGTGTCAGGGTTCATTTTGATGAATGCATACATTTTTTTCATAACTTTGACTTAACAGATTTTTGCCTGTAAACAAAATGTTGTTGATTTTGAGGAATAGGAACCATAAATAAAGCACCAGCACAGTGTCTGGCACACAGGAGACACTTAATAAATAATATCTTGTTATTGCTATTCATTATATTTTTGTTGAGCATTTGATTCGTAATTAAAATTTTAAGTTTGCTTTATTTTGTATGTTTAAGCTCTTTGACTTTGATCTTGAAGTTAAACCAGTGTTAGAAGTTTTGGTGGGGAAGATAATTGAGCAGTCTCTTCTGGAAGTAATGGAAGAAGAAGAGCTGGCTAACCTGCGGGCCAGTCAGCGTGAGTATGAAGAACTACGGAATAGTGAACGTGCTGAAGTTCAACGACTTGAAGAGCAAGAGAGGCGACACCGAGAAGAAAAAGTATATATAATTGTATTTTTCTTTCTTAGGCAGTCTTTTAGCTAGTTAGCATATTATGTTCAAAATTACATGTGATGATATATCATAAAACTAAAGATCTTTGGGAATATATTAGAAAAAGATCTATAATATTTTTGCTCAGGTCTCTTCTATAGATCAGAGATCTTTCGTGGACTGAATTCCATCTTTTAAACTCCAGCTTACATAAATATACCTAAAGTGAGTTTCCAAAAGTTTCTAAATAAAGTGAAAGTTCCTAGGTTACATGTGTCCCAGTTGAAGACTCTTAAACATCAGCAGTGCTAAAGAAAGAAAGACATATGTTGGTTTGCCGTAAGTTAGTGGCAGAAAGATGGAAGGAAGGAAAAAGTAAGTGTATTGGAGAGAGACTGTGGGTAAGAAACAGGGCATCTGGATAGAATTCTGATTCTTTTTCTCGGTGACCAGGCCCTTCTTTATACCCTTAGTGACACACCAGACTGATTTGGGTTCTTATAGAATATTTTTCAGATTCAGGATTTTTAGAATCTTCAATAAGGAAAGGTTTACAATCCAGTTTTTTTAAATGTGCCGGTAGCCTACAGTTAGGAAGCACTAGAATAGATAGTCTTTCTGGTTCTGGCAATAACTGTCAGCCTTTGTTGTATACTGATGAACAATTATAAAGTAGTATCTTAATACCTAAAACAGTTCAGAAAAAATTCCCAAGGGGCCTAACTTACTATGCTATGAAAAATAGCGTAATTGTTGGGAAATCCTACTCAATTCCTATCAAATGGACTTTAATTCCAAGATGAATACTTAGTTGTGTAAAGAGCATAGGGCTTACAATAAGGATTGTGCAAAAATAAGATTTTATTTACAAATATGAAATAAATTGTGACAAAATAAACTTTGTTGAAATGAGTCATGAAATCTTTATCAAAAAATATTTGTTTATTCACTATTTGGAAATATATTACGGAAAACTGGATACAGGAATCACCTAGATTTATATTTGTTTAGAGTTTAAATATAGATTTAATTAGAAAATATATTAATGCTCCCACTTCCACGTGAGAGTAGAGAACAGGATTCATCAGCTTTATAAATATTACATGGTCTAAAGGAAGCAACAGCAAAAAATAAGAGGCTTTCATAATCTTCAGAACCATTCAGCTTTACAAATTCAGGGAATTGTTACAAATGAACTCATTCACTGGCCCACTGGTAATTTTTCTTACCAGTAATATTTCATGATAATATTATTTTAAAATACATATAGTGGTGATTATCTTTTTGCTACCATCTATACTGTCAAGCATGTGTGTCTTGAAATTATTTTACTTGAAATGAATAGTGAGGTTTTTACCTTAAATTCCATCTTTTATAACTTCCTGAATTCAGTACCCACTAGCTGTTGAAATTTGTTAAAATTTTGATGAAAAATATGGACCTTTAATAGATAGACACCTCGCTGCCCATTTTTTGATAAGTCTGGATTCTTCTACTTATTAACTTCACTAGATTCAGTACTTGGGGAGGGCATAAGAGCTACATAACCACCTATGTTGTTTTGGCAGGAACGGCGTAAGAAACAGCAGTGGGAAATAGTGCACAAGCACAATGAGACATCACAAAAAATCGCCGCCCGAGCATTTGCACAGCGTTACCTGGCTGACCTTCTCCCGTCTGTTTTTGGCAGCCTCAGGGATAGTGGCTACTTTTATGATCCCATTGAAAGAGGTTTGTAGATATTTTTGTTAGATTAATTCTGTTGTAATAAGCATCCTCTTAATGGTTCAAATTTATGTTATGTCCATTTTTATTTTGAATTGGAATCTTTCTATTTCTGATACAAAGTCAATTTTAGTTGTTTAAAGTAAGTACAGTTGTTAATGAGATGTGTATTTTGAAGATCTTGATTTAAGGATATTAGTGTTTGTTTATTGAGAAGCAACATTTGTATAGTAGAAAGAAATATGGACTTGGTATTGAAAACTTGAGTTTGGGTTGCAGCTTTATCATTAGCTAGCTTGATGACCTCCAGTTTCTCCATGTGTGAAATGAGGATTTTTTTTTTTTTTTTTTGAGACGGATTCTCACTCTTTTGCCGAGGCTGGAGTACAGTGGCGCGATCTTGGCTCACTGCAACCTCCGCCTCCCAAGTTCAAGCAATTCTTCCTGCCTCGGCCTCCCGAGTAGCTGGGATTACAGGCACCTGCTACCACGCCCAGCTAATTTTTGTGTTTTTCAGTAGAGACAGGGTTTCGCCATGTTGACCGGGCTGGTCCTGACCTCAAGTGATCCGCTTGCCTTGGCCTCCCAAAGGGCTGGGATTATAGGCGTGAGCCACTGTGCCCAACCTGAAATGAGGATTATTTAGGAGTTAAGTCATAAGATATATGAAACGTGTAAACTGTAAAGTCCTATGTATGCGTAAGTAGTTGTTACTAACTTTTTCTCAGTTGACTTATTCCAATCAAAAACCCTTTGAGGGCAACTATCAAGGTCATTTATTCGTTTAATTAGGCTCTTACCCTGTTCCAGGCAATGTTTGGTATTGGAGAAAAGGAAGGATCCCTGGTCTCTGCCATTAGGGAACCAATAGCCTGATAGCTGTCTGTCTGTATCCCCTCAAAGTCCACGGTCCTAGCTGCTCAGCCAGTGGAAAGGAAGAGTTGCATGTCCTCACCACCACCCACCTTCCTCAGGGTGAAAAGCACGTACATCCACCGTGCTTGGTGTAGAGGTCCTATTTTGTTGGACAGTAGTATTTTGGGACACATGTTAGTAATGTTAATTTTCACTGATTACATATTCAATTTAATACAAAGAGGTGAGATCACAGACACATATTATTAACATACATAGTATTTTTCATAGGTGATATCATTTGATACTCCCAATAACCCTGTAGGATAGGCAGGTCAGATAGAATTCCCATTTTTTCGGAAATAGAAACTGAAGCTCAGAGAAGTTGAATGCCTTGCTCCCAACTCCTCAGGCAGTGGAAATATTAGGCCTCAAACTGACTTGGAACTCAGACTCCAAGTCCAGTGTTCATTCTCGGCTACCATCCTGCTGTCCTGGGCTCTAGCTTGGACTCTGTTAGCCAGAGAGACAAGTAGCCTTTTTTCTATCACTGATTGCCAAAAAAGTAAGTTATAGATCATATAAAAGCTTGCAAATGAAATTCATACCTGAGATTAAAATTATTTATAGTAGTGAATATAATATTCTATCACACTCTCCATTTCATCCTATTGAAAAATAAAATTAGATGCCTGCCCCAAAAAATGCTGTTTTGAAACTTTAAAATGTATATTGTAATAGATCATATTTTTAAAATGCTTACACAGTGGATTTCAGTTTGAACAAACTTAATACTGATGGAAACACCTAGTTTCTGACCTATTTCTAGATGGCTGCCTCCTCAAATGCCCTCTCACCTGCGTTCTCTGAGTCTGATCAGCTTCCTTCCATTAGGCCCTGGCCTTTAGGTGGAGACTTTCTTTTACTGGCATTGCTCAATTCCAGATTTGCATTGCATTTGGATTGGAGTTCTCCCAAACCCACATCCTCCCCCTGCCTCCCTGATCCATCTCAGATTGCACCTACGAAGGAAACTCCAAATGCCTTGACTCCAAGGAAGGCCTCATAGTTCTTAACTCCAAATGCCTTGACTCCAAGGAAGGCCTCATAGTTCTTAAAATATTGGGACAGGTGTGGTGGCTCACACCTGTAATCCTAGCACTTTGGGAGGCCAAGGCGAGTGGGTCACGAGGTCAGGAGATTGAGACCATCCTGGCCAATGGTGAAACCCCATCTCTACTAAAAATACAAAAATTAGCCAGGCGTAGTGGCGTGCGCCTATAGTCCCAGCTACTCAGAAGGCTGAGGCAGAGGAATCACTTGAACCCGGGAAGCGGAGGTTGCAGTAAGCGGAGATCGTGCCACTGCACTTCAGCCTGGGCGACAGAGCGAGACTCTCTCAAAAAAAAAAAAAAAATCACTTATGCAACAGAAAGGAAACTGACCAGAACATATATAAGGAATATGGCAAGTTATGCTGTATGAGTCTACTTAACATTTTATATTAAGAAACTAATGTTGATGAGTCTATTACATTAGGAGAAAAGCACATTATTCCTCTGACGATACATAAAAATCAATGAATTCTTTTATTACAGATATTGAGATAGGATTTCTTCCATGGCTAATGAATGAAGTTGAAAAAACCATGGAATATAGCATGGTGGGAAGAATAGTGCTTGACAGTAAGTTATTTTATCCAAAAATTCATCTCTAAAATTTTTAGTAGAAAGAATAAATTGAATAATTGAAAGATTAATTTCACAGTTCTAATACTTAAACTTTTAGTATATGAATTGTATTAATAGAAGTGCAAATTTTTACCCTCAATATTATTTTTGGCTCTTTTATAATTTGATATCTATTAATATATTCTGTCTTTACTTCATAAATGATATTCTGTTAAAACAGTATAATTTATATTTAATGCATTAAGTGTGAAGTTAAGTATGCTGACTTCAAAAAAAAGGTTATGACATAGGAAAGGGATGAGGCTTCGTGAAGGTTTTGTAATCATCTATAAGTCAGCACTATTACTCCTAAAATATACCATAATATGAAAATCATGATGATGTCTGGACACTTAACTTTTCAGTGTTGATCCGTGACGTGGTTGAAAAGAGACTGTATATGTATGAGCATAAGGAAGAAACACATCAGTCTCCAGAACCAGAGGATGAGCCTGGTGGCCCTGGAGCAGTGACAGAGTCACGGGAGGCCTCTGAATTCCTGGAGCAGAGCATGTCACAGACGCAGGGGCTGCTTTTAGATGGAGACTACGTACAAAGAACAACATATGACAGAAGGTCATCCCAGGAAAGGAAGTTTATGGAAGAGACAGAGCTATTAGAGCAGGATGAAGAATCAGCAATGAGGAAGTCCTTAGAGGAGGAAGAATTGTCATAGGAGGGGAGCTTCGAAGTCATGAAACCAATCAACAGCCAAGTCAGCAAGCAATCAGGTAATGATGCGCGAGTCCCCTCAGGTTATAGAAATTATGTTGTATTTAGTCAATATGTCTTTTTGTCTAATGGACTGGGCCAATCAAATGTGATAAAATAAAGCTAATTTGAAAATGAAACTAATTGAATTCATTTATTTAATAGAATATTCAAAGGCTACATTGTAATTCTAATGAGAATTATATTTAATTACTAGCTTTCTATTACCATTATATGTAACCAGCAAATATACTTTTCCTTAGTCCTTCTAATTTTACGGGTTAGTTTTTTTTAGTACATACGATATTTAATGTTCAATATCAGTGCTGTCAGCCATTTAGCTTTTCTTCTCTATAGGAAAACTATTTCACCTACTATAAGAGAGAATGCCTAGCCAGGCGTGGTGACTCACACCTGTAATCCCAGCACTTTGGGAGGCTGAGGCGGGCAGATCACCTGAGGTCGGGAGTTTGAGACCAGCCTGACCAACAAGGAGAAACTCCATCTCTGCTAAAAATACAAAATTAGCCGGGCGTGGTGGCGTGTGCCTGTAATCCCAGCTACTCGGGAGGCTGAGGCAGGAGAATCGCTTGAACCTGGGGCGGAGGTTATGGTGAGCTGAGTTTGCACCATTGCACTCCAGCTTGGGCAACAAGAGAAAAACTCTGTCTCAAAAAAAAAAGAAGAGAGGATGCCTAAACGTTGTGCTACTGAAAGCTGCAGTGCTCCCTTCCTGCAAGGACCAGCTTCAATATTCAAGTAAGGCTTAAGGAATTCAGTGGATTAGTAATATGCTCTCATCTATTTTTTCACATTCCTGCTATTAAAAAATTTCAGGCAATGCCAATAAAGCAAAAATCTCTGTTTGCCCTTATACAGTCTCACTCCCCTCCTCGAAGGCAGATCACTGTTACCAGTTAGGTATGAACCATCTAGGCCTTTTTTGAGATACTCCTATACAAATGTATTTGAAAATCTAGAAATATATAGCTTGATTTTCTTTATATAAATATAAACATTATTTGCATATTTTATTTTTCACTTAAGAGAATGTCTTAGATCTTTCAAGGTTAGCAGGCATCCATCTCTTATCTTTTTAAAATATGGTTAAGGTATTACATGTTATGACTGTGCTGTAGCATAGGGAATTAACATTTGACTTTTTAATCTGAATGTGTTAGAGAATTTACCTGCAGTATTAAAATCACAGATTATTTTCTCTCCAAAGCCTTGCTAATTGTAAGCAGTAACTGAAGTCTTCGGAGCCTTTAGATAGATAGAGCCTATTTTTCTTTTTACTTATTTTTATTTTTATTTTTTTGAGACAAGGTCTCACTCTGACACCCAGGCTGGAGAGCAGCAGCACCATCACAGCTCACTGCAGCCTTGACCCCCAGGCTCAGGTGATCTTCTCACCTCAGCCTTCCAGGTAGCTGGGACTACAGGCTTGCACCACCACGTCTGGCTAGTTACTGTATTTTTTGTAGAGATGGGCTCTTGCTGTGTTGCCCAGGCTGGTCTCCAACTCCTGGGCTCAAGTGATCTGCCTGCCTTGGGCTCCCAAAGTGCTAGGATTACAGGCATGAGCCACCGCACCTGGCTGAGTCTGTTTTTCTCAGAAGACTTATAAATATATAAAAGTAGTGATTTAAAATAACTTATAATTATTAACCCATTTACCTTAATTTCTTTTAAGTTAGGTACCAAGAATGTATCCACATTTAAAAACTTTTAAAAAGAATGTACCCATTTTCCCATATGGTATTTCACTATAACATTTAAGCCTCATGGCAACCTTCTGAAGCATGCATGACAATATTTGTATTTTTTAGTTTCTAATCCTTAATTCGATCAGCCAGCAAACATTAGCTGAGTGCCTGCTCTGCCTTGGGAATGAGGCTGCAGATACAGCAGTGAACAGTCATGAATACTTCATGTTTTTTACAGCCTAGCAGTGGAGCTAAGTGAAGTAAATGATGTAAATAAAGAAACCAAAGCTCAGGGATTTTAAGTGATTTGCAATAGGTGACAAGCCTAGTAGGGAGTAGGACTAAAGCTGGAACCCAAATCTCCTTACTTCTAATCTAGTATACCTTCTCCTAATAACTTGCTGTCTTTGTGAGGTACAAAGAATAATTTAAAATAAATTATTGCATTAAAAGCATTTAAAACATTAGAGTCACACCTGTTATCCATCACTGGGCTGGTTCCATCTTGTTAAACAGTCTTTATGATCACCCAAAAATTTATAAGGTATTAGTTTTGACAAGAAGACCAAAAATTTTTAATTAGGGCTATTGCTGATTATTATTGTTATTACCAATTTAAAAATATCTGTAACTAGTTTTTAGAAACCTTAAAATTGGGCCAGGCATGGTGGCTTACGCCTGTAATCCCAGCACTTTGGGAGGCTGAGGTGGGCGGATCACAAGGTCAGGAGATCAAGACCATCATGGCCAACATGGTGAAACCCTGTCTCTACTAAAAATACAAAAGTTAGCCAGGCGTGGTGGCGGGCATCTGTAGTCCCAGCTACTCGGGAGGCTGAGGCATGAGAATCACTTGAACCCGGTAGGTGGAGGTTGCAGTTAGTCGAGATCGCGTCACTGCACTCCATTCTGGGAGACAGAGCGAGACTCCTCAAAAAAAAAAAAAAAAAAAAAAACTTTAAAATTGATTTGAGATGGATTATCTTTCATAATCCTCTAATTCCCCTTTAGAATGATCCAGTCCATTAAACACTTTGCAGATGCCAGACCTATGCTCTATAAATCCATAAATTAATTCAATGTATTAAAAGAAGTAGGTATCTATAAACCCCACACTGAATGGGTTAAGCTTAATTGCAATCCTAGTCCATCCTAGAGAGAAACCAAAATAATTGAGAGGTTAGGGCATTGTCGCTGTGAGAAAGCTTAGAGATAACACATTATATGTTATCTGGAGAAAAGAATGTTAAATGGAAACAAAGTTTATGAAGAATTTCTTCAAGTACCTGAAGGATTTTATGGGAAATTACAAGATAGCATACTTAGGTTCCATATGTCTAGATGACTTTTCATAACTAAGCAACTTTTGCAAATGGTTTGGGAACATAAAACTCAGGATGGAAGAAAATGGGTACCATTAACATTTGGATGGTTATGGGACCATCATAACATATGCAAAATGCTGGCTCCCCAACTATGACCCTCAGTATGACTTTTAAAGGAATTATAAGCTCCAAATACTTTTTGGAGTATAAAAAGTACTTGACTTTTTCACACATTTGCTAATACCCTTCTCATAAGTTTTATTTCTTTCTGATGTTTTGGCTAACACTGAGCTAACAGAAGCTAAATAATAATAAAATGAAGGACAGATAGTAAATATATTGAAATTGTCATTCCTGGCTGGGTGCAGTGGCTCATGCCTGTAATCCAAGCACTTTGAGAGGCCGAGGCGGGCAGATCATGAGGTCAGGAGATCAAGACTATCCTGGCCAACATGGTGAAACCCCGTCTCTACTAAAAATACAAAAATTAGCTGGGTGTAGTGACACATGCCTATAATCCCAGCTACTCGGGAGGCTGAGGCATGAGAATCACTTGAACCCAGGAGGCGGGGGTTGCAGTGAGCCAAGATTGTGCCCCTGCACTCCAGCCTGGTGACAGAGCAAGACTTCGTCCCAAAAAAAAAAAGAAAGGAAAAAAGAATAAAAAAGAAATTGTCATTCCTGACATAAATTCCCATATCACTAAAATAGATCAGAGAGGTAGAATGTAATCTTCTCTAGCATAGGCATCATTGCATTTAGGCCATCTGAGGGCTACGAGCATGGCCTGCGAAGTCACTCTGAGCAACACAAGGTGGAGTTTGAAAGCAGATTCAAAGCCAGACCACTGGGCTTGAGTTATGGTAGATGCTTAGTCAATAACATTGTTGAACAGTTCTCATTATTAGAAATGTCTTTCATACTGATTCAAAACCTGTAACTGAAAGATATGAGTGAAAAGATAAGCTAATAGCATTATAGGCTTGCTTATAATCAAGTGTTAAAGAGTTTAAAATTTTAGGATAAAAATATTTCAGGTATAAGATGCCATTTAAGCAATTTTAACTTCTTTTTGGAGAGTTTAAAATGAATGAATTTTTATCACTATATTCATTTATAATTTTTATAAATATGAACATTTTTGTGATAATTGTATGTTGTCTTTTAACATTTTAGATTATAACCACTAGGTGTCAGTAAAACCCTAAGATAAGGTTGACTTGCTGCCAACTTCATACATAATTTCGTGACCGTAAAAGACCTTGGTGAGCACAGTTCGAAAATATATTGTATTCCTTGGAATCTTCTAGACTCTCAATGAATATTTTATCTCACCCTAAAGTTATCTGTCAGCTCTGTAGGGGTGCCAGACTCTTAAAATGTTCATTTTAGAGTGGACTTTAGTTGTCACATACTTTAGTATCTAATTCAGGATCCTTAACAGATGGTCAGTTAGTCTTTGTTTCATCACTTTAAGGATGAGGTTTTCATGTTATGAGCTGCTCTAGATAGCAATTCTGTCTTATTTGGTTTTGTCTCCACGGGCCTAGGCTATGATAGATGCTTAGTCAATAACGTTGTTGGACAGTTCTCATTATTAGAAATTTCTTTCATACTGATTCAAAACCTGTCCTATTATAACCTTTGCTTATTGGTCATAATCATGAGGGCATGATTATGGTAGAGGCAGACAAAATAATTTTATTGCCGTATCAGCCCTATCATGTACCCCAATAAATTTTTCTTTATCCCCCCCACCAAGTTTTTTTTCTCCCAATGAGATTCACCAGTCTTCCCAATTATTCATCATGTGGCACAGTTTCAGAACTTGCCCACTCACCAGCCTGGTCACTGTTACCTTGAAATGGCTATTTGGTCAAAGTTTCTCTTAAAACATGTTTCCCAGAATTAGGTAGACAACTCTGGGTGTAATCTGACTCGGCAATCACCCATCACCAAATCACTTTCTCTAAACTCAAATACCTAAAAATCATATCTTCCAGGACATCGGTGAGAAAAAGCCAAAATGAGTTTTGAGCAGCTACAATGTCATGAAGTCAACATACTTTGCAGTGGACCCTGTAAGCCTATCCTAACATGTTGCTAACCAACTAGGCTATTTCATTATTGACCCTACAACATGTTAGAAGTAACATTAACCAGGGAAGTGGGACTGCTGTGGGAAAACTCATAGCACTAACATAAGAGAAATGGCAGGAAAAAATAGGTAACTCAAAA